CTCGGCGCAAGCCACCAGCGCCTGGACGAGCCTAACTCCGGTCTCCTGCGAGTCGGAGAAAAGAACCACTGGCCGAGTCGCTGACTCGGTGCACGCTGAGTCACCGAGTCGAATCCTCTTGCTGCTGCTGGTGGAGGTACAGTCGTCGTCGGAGGAAATCCGGGTCGGGTCGAGATCCGGGTAGAAGGTAAGGTCGGAGAGCATGGTGTGAGCCCAGGAGGAGAGATCAGAAGGATTGTAATGAATGGTGTTGCCGTAGTTGAAGGCATTGTCGTCATTGGACAAAACCATTTCAAGCTGTTCAAGCCATGTCGGAAGTTCGAACCTTGTAACCCAAAACAGCGAGAAGCTCATCGTCCATGTTAACGTCTTCTTCTAGCTTTTTCTTGTTTTCTACCATTGAAAGAGCTTCTTCTTGTACAGAAGACATTTCTCGATGGCTTCTCTCATCATCATGATTTGATTGTTGTGTGGGATTGAAATTATTGGTGTTAGAGACGGAATTGAGGACACAAAAGGAGAGAGCAAGAGAGAGGTCCAATGAGGGAAGTGAGGGACCTAGAGAGTGTAAGTAAAGAGATAAGGAGGAGGAGAGGCAAAACTATGCATGTGTTTTCTCTTCTTCTTTCTTCTTTTCACTTTACAAAATTATGAAAAAAAAAAATCGTTTTAATCTCCAAATACTCAAATACATTTCGATTTTAATAGCTCACTTTTTTGAATTTCTGATTCAAGTTACAAAAAAATTCGTTGCTTGATGCTCTCTCATCTTTTGTGCAAGGGCGTGGAGTTTTGTTTAATGGACTGTCATAAACTCAATAGTCTATTAAACTGTTTTTTTTTTAATTGCCATTAACTGTTAGATTTAAAGTTTCTAGAATATTAAAGTTCATGCTGAAACAGATATTTGCTTACCCAAACAGTACTTGCAATTGAAATACTGATGCTAATCTGAGTTTTGACCAAAATTTTAGCTCGAAAGTCCAAATTAATTGGCCAATTTCTCTAAATAT